CGCTGCGCTGCGAAAAATACCACAGTTTCGCGCTCATTTCGTGCTAAATTCCTGTTTTTTCTTTGTTGATACTTGCTGCAGCAATTACAATTTACTTTTTTCTCAAAAAGTTTTGTGTTGCTTGACGTTACTTTGGTGTTTTCAGACAAAAAGGAAAATTAGAAGATAATTGATAAGCAGAGTGAGCATTCGATACTCCTTTCTTTCTCTTTCTTTTAATAAGCAATCTTATCTTTAAACTGAAATGTCAGCCTTTTAGAAAAATTATATAAATATTTGTTTATAAATATTATTTATTTTTACAGACTATAAATGTTGCAGCGAAATATGTTAAAAGCAAATGATATTATATTTTACGCATATTTTTCATTAACAAGACTTTTTATTATATGTAAAAGTCCTGTTAATGAAAAATATGTGCAAAATACTTCTCGCACAAAGCGAGTTATTTTGTTCATGATATCTTTTTTCTATATACATTTTTTGTGTTTAAATGAAACTACAAATTCATTGTGACGTACGTACATTTTATTCATCATTTATTTGGACGTTTTCAGGTTACACATTGGACACCATCAATATATTTGAATTTTAACAAAAAGAATAAAGTATATAAATCCGTTAATAATAATAAAAAGATAATACATATAAATGTTCATATAAATTGTTTATTCTGCTGGAGGACATATTTTTAATTCGCAAGCTTTTATATACATTTATAATTAAACGCTATATTTATATCTCTAGCTGAGATTCGAGAGTTGAAAGTTTGCGGCTATAATAAATGAAAGTTGAAACATAACAACTAGCAATTTGAAGTTCAGAGTTGAGAATGGAAGATCGGGAATTTATGCATATGCAAACTTTCAAATATTTATTCTAAATCATATTCTATAAATCCTAACAATAATGTTCCATGCCTCTCTAGTGCGATTTTACTATCGAATCTCAATCAGATGAATTTCTACGATGAATAGAACCTTTCATTAATGAATCGCGTGTCGGATTCGCGTTTACCCCGAAATAACATCAAATATGAGAAACCTCGTTGCAAATACTTGGTCAAGGTTTTATTTCTAATGTTCTTGAAAAACAGATTCGAGATACATAGAATGTGCACGTGTCTTATCTGTTTAATTTCAACGCCGATATCGTTGGATCCAGCACCGATTTTTATTCATGCACGTTCTTCCATACTCGCGAATTTCACGTTGATGAAATCGGACTGGGATTTCTCTCGCAAGCCTGGAGAATGCATTCCCCAGGAAGTAGCACTCGTCAACGATCGCTTGTCGAAAAGCGATAAATATCACCGCTCGTAAATATCGTGTGGTTAGCAACAATAAATCCCGCGTTACTTCGAAATTCCCACGCAGGAGGTAAATCTCGAAGGACGCTGCACTTCGGCTCTCATTTTACACATTCGTTAATGCTGCATTGTACATTAAAGGCCGGCATTCATAGTCAGTTCTTATATTCAAGACCATCTTAAGGATGTACTTGAGATATTTCAAAATAATAAAATTATGAAAAAATTACAGATTATTCTTCTTTTTATCAATTATTCTTTTTACATTCGACTGAAATTGACCAGTATTTTATGGTTTAAAGCTTATTGTTTATTACTCGTATTGTGTTTTGAGACTTAATAAATGACACAAATTTGCGGTATATATACATATATATATATATATATATATATATTTCAATAAATTGTTTTAAAGTTATTTTAAATTAATTAAATATTTTTTTATAATACTGTTGTTTATGTATTTATCTAAAATTGCAAAGGATTTCTTGAGATAACAAGTATCAGTGACCCAGTTAGATTATCCAAAGTGATGAACTTGCTATAAATCTCTTGTCCAGTTTAGAAACTGTATTAAACGAGGAAACACAAGTATATTATAAAGTATAATATCGTCTTGAGAGACATATACTCTTGCAAGCAGAAATTCAGAGTTTCACGCATATCGCATGATCGAAACTATGGTGAACAAACTATGAATTTATATACAATATATTTCTTAGCTCTTGAGATAGCCGAATTTTTTACGGCGTGTCCTAAATTCTGAATCAAACATTTCAGATAGAATTTTATGGCATCATATAATATTATCTTGTCATAAAAAAATTATCTTAAAAATTGTAATATTTTTTTAGACTCTAAATAATCTTCATCTCAGATTACATTTTTTATACTTAAGAAACAATATATTATAATCTTTAAAATACCAATTATTTTTTAAATTACAAATTTAAAAAATAAAAATATTTTTTACTTAATTTATATATTTATGCGCATATTGAATTTATTATTCAACACTTTTAAAATTTAGTTGTCTTTTTCACACAATCGTAGAGTGTATTTATATTTATTATATATAGACATAAAAACAATATTTGTATTCATATAAATAATATATTTACATAAAATATTTACTTATTATATATCGGAAAAGAATATCATTTGTGTGTGTGTGTGTGTGTGTGTGTGTGTGTGCGCGTGTGTGTGTGTGTGCGCGTGTGTGTGTGTGTGTGTGCGCGTGTGTGTGTGTGTGTGTGTGCGTGCGCGCGCGCGTGTGTGTGTGTGTGTGTGTGTGTGTGTGTGTGTAAGACATACGCTTGCACTACGTGCAATGTAATGCAATAATCTCTAAAGCTTGGTAAATATTTCGAGAATCGTTTATTTCGGAATCTCTTTTTTTCTATCTCTCGTTCAGGATACGCCAGTTGGGTCAAGCTAGATAAATGGACTGTCGAGGACATCCTTCTGAGAATGGAATCCACCCTCGATTTTGTTTGCCCAACAGAACATGGAATAATTGTCACGCGGCACTGTACTTGAATCAAATCGAAAAGCGATGACATCGATCTTGTTTTATATTACAGATATTTAGATTATGCTTCAATCGCACTCTATTCCAAAAAAAGAAATCAGCCCGTCAAAATTCCATCAATATATATATTCCATTGATATCACCTTAAATTTTTCATTTATGAATTTTTACTGTGATATATAAAAGTAGTATTTATATGCTTGTATTAACTGTCTCTAACGCTCTTTTAAGTCTTCTCTAATAAAATTTAAAAAATAATAAATAAATAAATATGCAAATTTTTTAAATAAAATTGCTAAAATTTTACGAGGAATGCTAGAATTTAAAAAACTCGCAGCATTAAAAATTTTTAAGTATATATCTCATGCAAAGCATACAGATTATACAAATGCATATAAATATATAGTATTAATTTTAGTTTCCAAACTTATTTTATATTTTAGTTAATAATGATAATTTAATTTTGTTTATTCTAACAAAAATTCATCCAAAAATATTTTTTTTAGATGTATTATAAAAAAATTTATTACACATGCTAAATACTGCTAAATATATATATAAATATATATACATGCTAAATGCATATCTAAATATTGCTCATTACAGCATTAATCAACCCTGACTGACGAAATAATCAGAAAGCAGCGCGTCTCAAGAAAATTTGCCATCAATATCCTGTTGAGATTAATTTTTATTCGAGATTCGCATGAAGTTTGAAAGTAAGGCTGATTTATTAATGTACGTCTAACGTACAGCGCGTAAAGTAAGCGGAGAGGCAGCTTCCGCTTATACAGTTTTCCGTGGAGAATTACTCTCTTCGCGGCATTCCCGTGGGACACATTCGCCGTTCCTTGTGTGCGCGACGACATTTCCTGCATAATGAAACAATATCACTCGTGCCCTGTTCTCGATCTTCTTGCAAGATCGAACGAGCAGCCTTTCGGCTTCCCTATTCTTTTATTTAATTCCTTGTAGTGAGTATCGAGGGAGAATCAAATTCGACGATGTTCAGCGCACCTTAAACTTAAAGATGCATACACCAAAGGAGGAAAACTCTGCGGAAAATCTTTACCGAGAAATGGCGAGCGCGAGAGATGACTTTGACGGATCAGTCACCCTTGTTAACCCTGTGTTACCGTTGTGTTCCCTTGACGATTTACGGGTGCGCTTGTATAATCTACGTCGTATGGCTCCTCTTCTTCGTCGTCTTATTACCGGAATAACGTAATATTGCCAGCATGTAGTCGGTGAGATCGTTGCGACGACGAGGCGCGATCGCGCTAAGACGCCTCTCTCCATCCGACTTAACGACATTCTCGTGGCGGATTAGATCGAGCGAGATAGCAAGCCAGGTGCAGAGCAAGACAAGGCACATGACGCTCCGTGTCGAATGGGCTGGGATTAGCCGGAGATCCGGCGAACCTGAAGCGCGAATACCGCGCGCTTAGCGAGATCCTGACGTCGAGCGCATTTCGCACAAGATTTTCATGGGTCCGCATCATTTACGTACGATTTAGTGGAAGCGTTTACCCACTTTACGCTTTTAGCATAATGCAACATCGTCGGATATTGGGATGCAAAGCGTGGTTGAGAGTTGCAACTAGTGCGGGTGTCTTAAAACTAAGACGTCGACGGCTACATTGAGCCCTGCATTTACTTAGCGACTGGAAGAAAAATTTTTAATCAAATTGACCAATAATCTATTGAAGAAAAAAAGAATTGATATATAAAATTAAAACTCTTTTTCGTCGCAGGCATGAGGCAATAATCAGAATTAATCTCGGTTAAACTTGCTTTAATCTCTCGGTTCGATCAACTTGCTCTCCATCTTTTTCTAATTCTTAGAATTAAAAAAAGCTGAAGAATTAGTTGATCCAAAATTAAAAATTTATATAAAAATTTATATAAAATACTATTTTACAAACTATAGCTAATCAAAGCCTTAAACGATTTAACTGGATCTTAATGCTTGTATGATTCTTATGTGAATTTATACACTACGTATGTAGTCCCCAAAAACGCGCGTAGACTGTTTAAGGCTTTGATTTCTATAGTATTATATTATCACATACATATACAGTCCTATTATATATTATATTGCCATTTTACATGATTATAATTATTTTGAAGAATATTAATTGCAATCGTCGTTTCTCACAGGAATCCGATAGTTTAGCAGTATTCTCTGAGCTGCTGAGATACACAAGCGTACGCGAGCTGAGCTTATGCAACGCACGCTTGCATTTAGCAGTGCATGAAGGTCCTTTGGCGAGATTGGGACGTCGTGACGACGCTGGCGCCGAGCTTCTGCGAGCCGCACCACCTCCGGCCTGTCCCGCGATCGTCTTCTTGAGGCTAGCTGGATTTCAAGTGAGTGATTACTCTTTCTTCTTACAATTAAATACCATTCCGTAAAGATATTGTTAGTAAAATTTATCCACAAATTTTTCTCAAAAATCCAAACACACACACACACACACACACACACACACATACACAGAGAGAGAGAGAGAGAGAGAGAGAGAGAGAGAGAGAGAGAGAGAGAGAGAGAGAGAGATAGAGAGAGAGAGAGAGAGTATGAAAGCCGATCATAATTTTTTATCATCATCTTTATATTCTGATAATTAACTGAAATATTGAATATAACTGAAATATTGAAATTTCATTAATTTTTTGTTCGAATAAAAATATAAATTTTTTATTGTCAAAATCTCAATTACACAACTTTTATAAAAGTAATCCAACATTAAACAATCGAAAGATTGTAAAAGCGGTTCCGAATCAGTACTTTATATAATATTACATGAAATGAAGAATAAAACAATTAGCGAGAGATCCTTGAAACTTGCTTACATCTCGTTTAATGAACATAATCCCACAATGTAACAATATTGCAATGACATATACAATCCTATTATATTAGACTAACATATGAAGCTTTGACCATTTGCTGATGCAGTTACACATCTTCGAATGTATCGTGCATATTCGGGCATCCGTGGTATATGGGAAGATAACATACGTATACGACATCGCGATTCCAGTAGACGCAGATGTAGCTGTCTACTGACTGTCTCTCCGACGAGTTTCCCGGATATACAAGGCTATGTAGCTATCGTGTTCCCAGGATCTGGGTTGGAACCATTAGACACACTCACGTTCTAGCCACAACAGAGGGGCACAGTCCGTGATGTGAGTCCCTTCTCTCGCGGAAATGATTCGTTTTGCTTGAAAAATGGATCTCTGTTACGATTCGTGAAACACAGAAGAAAATCGGTTATTCCACTGTAACACAGAATATCGCGGTCAGGAAATTGCGAACGTGCTCACGCCCATGGAACATATCCTAATCGTTTCATTGAAAGTGATCTGATTCTGGACAAGAAACTCTGATCCAAGAATTCTACGCATCTAGACATTTTGTGGAAAAGAGAGAGCGTGAGATATCAATTATCATTTAGCTTATATAAGAGAATTTATGCACATGAAATACAGAATGCAATTCTTAGTATCAGAAGGAGCGAAAAAAACTAATTTTTTTCTGGAAAAGTTGCATTCGAACAGAGTTTTTTTAAATGAGACCAATTTTAGGCTAACGAATGAACACTTTAAGTTACGCACGAATCGCGCGACGTGCGATGAATGTATCCACATTGTTTTATCTCACTAAAAAGAACAGATTTTTTACACAATAACTGTGCATGATATTTAAATATCTCACTATTTGAAATACAGTTTACTTTATAAAAGAAAATTTTCAAATTGATAACTCTGAAGCAATTGCCGAAAATAATAGATAAATAATGAGTAACCCAACTTGCATAAAAATCTTATTTTAAAATAAATATCGTCGTAAAAAAAAGATTTTATCATAAATGAATATTTGTATACAAATCAAAGATCTTTTGAATACAAATTTAAAAATATTTAATCGATGTCACTACTATAATATTAGTATTTTTTAAATAGATTATAGAATTTTATGAAAATGTAGTAGAATTTTTGTCAATGTTAAATATAATGTTTGAGAATAATTTTTATTATTTTTCTTTTGGAAAAAACCATTCTTATAAAAAAAAAGATTAATTATACTAAGATAACTATTTTATTTTACGTCACGAAAATTAATTCCATGTCCGGAATGTTCGCCAGATTTCGTGTCACTTCCCTCCCTTATCTATCTATAAGTCATACATTTTCGATTGCATGCGCAATTACTGTCCGCACCACGGCAGCAATAAATAAAGGACAGCCCGGACCAACATACATCTTTGTAGTCTCCGCATTAAACCGACCCCCAATTCCATTACCCTTGTCTCCGTGCAGGATCCCTAAAATAAATCGTTGAACTTTGCAGCTGCTTTTCCCATCTTTGCCAATTTGCAATTCGGTTTTTCATTAATGAAGATACAGCTTTGATTTTGTCTTAATTTTTAATTAACTTTCATTTTAATCACTTTTCAAGTTGACATAATGATTTAATTTGCTTTTTTTAAAAGCACGAGTAAACTAATTTATTAAAATAAAATTTAGATGTTTTCAACTTAAAAATTGATCTTCTAATGTTCTTAAATAAGTTAAAAGATTATGTTAAAATTTAGACTAGAGACTATACTAAATTCAAGATTAAGAAAGATAAAATTTTATTAAATAGATACTCTTTGAAATTTAGTTTTTTCCTTTTAATTACTTCTTATTTAGAAATAGAGATGAAAATGTTCGAGAAAACTACAACTTTAAATAAAAAAACTCAACTTGTTTTTTTTGATATCTGGAAATTTATTACTTGGATATATTTTTTGGATCATTCGATGATTTTACTAGAATTATTCTAGAATGCAATTTTTGCATTCATCTAAAAGATCTCTGTGAAAAGATAACTATAAAAATTAAAATGTAGCACAATGACTAAGTGATATAGATACACTATCGTTCATAGTAATAATAATAATAATTATTATTATTTATAGTTAACAGAAATAATATTTTATTAGAATAATTAACTTCTTTTGTAAATGATACATTCGTTATCATTGTATATAAAATATAAATTCTATTTTGATTAAAAATAATTCTTTTTGTGAGAACCCGTTTTTTACATAATAATACTTTTCTTTAAAAAATCTGTTTCTTTATTCCTGCTTAGAGATAAAAAAACCAATCCAAAATTGATCAGGAAAACTCATAATAATAAAAAATTACTTGCTACTGACATCCTGTATATTTTTCTCTTTTTATCTCAATCTAAACGAGTATATAAACGAGCGAAACAAATTGCGCCCGATAAGCTCTGCCGACGAAATTATTTCTGATTGCAGGTGACAGTGAACGATCGCCTGGCATTGCGCGGGCCGTTGCTACTGCCGTTCCTGGCGGGTTTCACATCGCTGAGTGAGCTTGATCTGTCGCTAGATAAATCAACAATCGGCGGCAGCAGTGGCTCGTTACTTTTCATCGACGACAAGATCCTACAGCAATTCTTCTGTTGCCTGGCGGCGCACTTCCGCAGTCTGCAGTCGCTTCGGATCAATTTCTGGCGGGTCACCCTGGAAGACAGCGATCGCACAATGCGACAGATCGCCAAACATCTCAAGCTATGCGGCTTAAGCTTCCTCAGGGCGAATGGCCTAATTGTCACCGATAGCGCCAAGCGTGTGCAGATGGAACACGTGTTCGTGCAGACGATCCTCACGCACCTGCAATGTCTCACCTGGCTGTGCCTGGACGGCATCGAGCTGACCGAGACGCAAGCCACCAGCGTAGGCAAGTGTGTACGGGATCGTTATCCCGGCACCACCCTGGAAATCAGCGCCAAGGATATCCACGTACGATCCGTCAAGGCCCTGGTGACTGCGGCCGAGGAGGGTGGCAGAACGGAAGTGATTTACACCGGTGGTTCCAGCTGTCGCCTGAAGATCACGAAGCTCCAGAAGGGCGGTCGAGGCAAGAAGAAATGAAGGATTCGCGGGCGATAATTCGGAGGAAGTTATCCTGGCACACAGTTTATCGCGAGGTAAAGGGGAAACGAAGAGAGTCGATTGAACGAGATCGATTGATCTTTTCGCGGATGCGACTGTGGAACTAGGAAAGTTCTGGAGATTGGAGGGAGAGAAGGCAATGAGATTAAATCAACAGATCGTGTTGGAGAAGCGATGCGGAGAAGTTCGAAGTATCGGAAAAAGGATTAGATAAGATGGAGATATAATGTAGATTATCTAGGAGCGCGACGGATATCAAAGAAAGATAGTACGTTGAGAGCGAATATCGATGTCGATTTCAACTGCAGCATGTGAGCACGTTGAATGAAAAAGAGGCTGAAGATGCAGGGGAGCACGAAAAAGGAAAATGCGGGTTACTTTGCGGATTTTCGTCTTACTGTGATTTCGTTTCCTGCGCGTCAGGCGCGCTTATCTACGATATAGACTCTAAAGATTAGCGATTTATTAGACCTCGAGAACTATTCGAAGACAATGGGAGATGCACTACGCTTCACTCATCTAACCGCGTTCAAGAAATTGATGAGATACTAAAAGAAGCGTAAACCAATATAATCTAGAAAATCATTTTCGCTGTTTTAACATGATTTTGGCATCATTTTTCATCATAATCATGTCGCGCGAATAAAAATGATGTTGACAATGATGACAAAACCAAATCGCCTGTTTAAAAAATATACTTCTTATTTTGAAGTGTTTATTTTTAAAGTACTGATTTGTAAGTATTGTCGTTAATAAGACGGATTAATAATCTTGTCATATATTATTTATATATATCTTTCTTCATATCTATTTTTCATACCTTCACATATTTTCTAATTTTTTAAATGAATTTTTTTACTTTTATAGGCGTAATAAGTTGAATTACTTCGTTCATATATCTCGAAGTATTTGTTTCAATAAATAGGAACAAGATTGTGTTTGCTTCATTTTATATAATTATAATAACCAATGAATTTTTACGTATAAATCTCATTATTATAAGAGAAAATCAATTCCGTTGAACGAAGATGGAAGTCCATCTTCCGTCCTAAATGAAGATGGAAATTTTCGATGCTGTGTAGAAAAATGTTCTACCTTTTTGAAGAGAAGAAGGCGAAAATATAAGAAAGAAAATATTTATCACGCGAGAGGAAGATGTTTTAAGCGATGGAAAAAGAGGCTGTTGCGATTACATAAGTATCGTTCATTGTTGTTAGATGGAGATGTAAAATACGATTCAGAGTAATATATTATTAGCGATATAGATCACATCATGATCGTCACGATATTATTAAGTGTTACAATCGACCGTCATTCGCGATCGGCGAGATGCAGACCGAGATGCTAGTGGCTTTATCGAGAAGGTGTATTGTTGGAGATTTGGAGAAATTTTATAGAATGAATTATAAATGATAGGCACATGAAAAACACACACACACGCGCGCGCACGCATACACACACACGCACACACACGCGCACACACATACACACACACGCACACACACGCGCACACACATACACTACACACACACACACACACACACACACACACACACACACACACACACACACACACACACACACA